AAATTTGAAAATTAAATATGTCTTCACTACGTTGGAGCAAAAATATATGAAAATATTCAACAAAACTAAAAGCTATATATATATATAAACGATTAGCTTGAAGAGCTGAATCAATTTAGTCATATCTCTCCGGATTTAGATACGCGAATTAGTTGCTCAATTGTTCAATTGTTGAGATAACCATTTGAAATTTTGCACACATTTTTTGCTACTTAAGAAGCTCATCATATGTCAGAGCCGTCAACATCGGGCAACTATAGCATATAGCTAGCATATAAACCGAACGGTTAAAATCAACTTCTTATAAGAAATCCTTTTTTTTAGGAAGAACTATCTTCACAAAATTTTGCACAAATTAATATCCAGCGAAGCTTTATAATCTCTGCAGAAATTGTTCTGATGGGACAACTATAACATATAGCTGCCATACAAACTAAGCAATCAAAATCAAGTTCTCATAAAGAATACTTTTTTATTAGAAGAGCTATCTTCACAAAATTTGCCGTGAATAATTGTCCAAAGCAACGGTATAATTTCTGAAAAAAATTGTTGAAATCGCATGACTATATCATATAGCTGCTACGCAAACTGACTGAACAAAATCAGAATAAAGTTCAAGTTAAACCCTTTTATCTTTGTGTTGCAACTGTGAAGGGTATTGTACAGCCGTAAAGTTGAATTTATATATTTTATATTTTTGTTTGTATAATTCTTATATGTTATCATACTTTCTTATATTTTAACATTTTGACAATAAAATGTATTAATGCATGACTTACTGCCCCTAAAAGTATGCTTACTGCTAACGCTAACTAACCAATTTAGCAGCAAAAACTATTATTTCACATACTAAAATTACAAACATACTCAACATTTTTCGACTTCATGAAATTTTCAGTACTTCTGCTACACCACTCACTTGACTGCTGATTTACCTCCAATGCTTTCGTCTCACATTCACATTTCCAGTTGCACTAACTCACTTAAATTGTCGCGTTAGCATAAATTGTCATAATTATGGGTCCAAGCAATTTAGATAAGGTCGATATGGTTATGCCAAGTGCCCGCAAGCGCGTACCACATGCACATGCTTASATGTTTCGTACATTACATGACTGTGTTTGGGTTAATGTATGTGTGCGCGCATAAGAACACTTTTGACATTTCGCCGTCATAACAATTACACAAAATTGTTGGCAATAAAAGTGTGCGACGGCCCAAAACGAATAATTCCTCACTAACAACATTTAYATGTGTATGTATGTGTAAGTATGTACATAGTTGTGTGCTGCAAGTAACGGCATTTTGTAGCAGCAACATTCATGCATGTGTCGCTAATGCCAAGCCCTCGCTCGTTTAATGTATGTGGATTGTCACAGCGGYGAAATGAACGCCAGTTAGCGCCATAAAAAGTTGTAGTTGTTGTTGTTCTAATTACATTAAAATTCGTATACATATGAATGCTGTGGAAGGAGTTTGCTGCAAGTGCTTGTATAGAAAACTTTTTGCTTAGACGAGATAGCTCCACCAAATTTGACACAGAGCTTTCTCAAAAGCAAAGCTATAATGTCTGAGAAAAATTTTAAGATCGGATGACTATAGCATATAGCTGTCATACAAACTGAACGCTCAAAATCAAGTACTTGTATGGAAAACTTKTTTATTTAAGAAGATATCCTCACCAAATTTAGAGCGAATTATTTCCCAAGGCAGCGGTTTAATCTCAGAAGAAATTATAAAGATCGGACAACTATAGCTTATAGCTGCCATACAAACTGAACGCTCATAATCAAATACTTGTATGGAAAACTTTTTTATTTAAGAAGATATTCTCACAAAATTTGGTGTGGATTATTCTTGAAGGCARCAATATAATCTCTGAAGAAATTGTAAAGATCGTACAACTATAACCTATAGCAGCCACACAAACTGAACGTTCAAAATCAAGTTTTTGTATGCAAAGATTTTTTTTCGAAATTATCATTCTTTCTAAATTTTGTTGTACTTGAGTTGTTTATAATACAATTGTATTGTTGTTGTTGGTATAAAGAATACARGAAATGTAAGAAAATTTCATTAGTATAAAAATATATTTCATGCGCATCACYCGTTGCAATCCCTTGGAATTGGAGAAATTCCTGCAATTAGTGAAAATAATATTAAAATTTCGTAAATTAATTGTATATTTTGAAAGCTTTCGGAACTTCGCGCTTCATTTAGCACATCTTTAGCATAACTTATGCAATCAAAGAGCACAAACGCGCCCATTTTTCCCATCGCCGACATGCCGCCATTTCATTGTGCCACCCAAAACAGCAGGTGCTTCACGCTGTGCGCCAACAAAGCAGTTTGCTGAGGCAATTAAGTGCTCTAATAGGCAGCGATTTCTTGCTTCAAATAATTAATTGCTTTTCAACACAAACAAAACGCGCTGCGGCGTGGAGCCTGTGGCGCGTACGCTAGGCAGCCTTGCCACTTCACACGTCATTTACACACAGAACGGCATATGTTAAAACGAAGTACGCGCGTGTGTATGTCAGTGCTCCAACTCACCAACTATATTAAAGCATATGTCGAAATTTATTTATTGAAGTAAAAAACAAAAAAAAAAAATAATAAATACAAACAACAACATATTGAATCGCATGCGGCAGCAACTGTAGGTGGTGGCTGGCAATAAAATTCAGCAATGAGTAAAAATAGCGCTGAAGTGAAAAGCACCTTTGCAGCACAAAATTACCGTGCCAGTAAGAGATGCTRTTTTGTACGCGCGCACCGCATTAAATTTGTTGCTGTGTTTATTTTTTGTGCCCAACTACTGCGCATTACTAGCAGATGATTCATTAAAAACTGCACTTCCACATTTTATTTGCTTTGCGGTGTTTATTTTATGCGATATGCCTGTTGCACACATGAACACAAATATACGAACATCGAAGCTCGCGGTAGGACAGCGCGCGTCTGCGCCAACATACCAAGTCGCAGTAGGGCAGCGCGCGGCTGGGCGCGCAATTCGTACAGCCCAAACACCGCATAATTCGATGTAATTGCGCGCATTCAAACGGACAGTCGAAAGCCGGCACTGAAGTGGTGTGTGTAAGCACATAAACATGTGTGTATGTGTGTGCGATATGCACCTACATACAAGCGYGCACAAYGMGTACATATGCTTYATGCAGGMGTAAGGTGCGCATACTTTAGCYGKCGTGGTGGCATGCAACAGTGCGCTTATTGATTTTGGGATTCTTTACACTTCATTTACGAATACTTGAACCGAAGCACTTACCACAGCAGTAAAATAATGCAACAACAGCAAGCAAGCGSACGAAGKTGGTGGTGCTAAAGTTAGCGCAGTTGAACTCGCGAACTCGTGTCTTAACTAGCTGCACTTCAAGCGCGGCGCAAAGTATGCGCGCACACACACAACGCTTCAATAAAATATATATGTATGTGTGTGTATAGGTATGCGCTGTGCTGTAGTACATGCCAAAGGCTAAGGTAAATAAGCTGGTCAGCCAAAAAAGCAGCGCGCAATGAGTAAACGTTGACAGTGAACGCTTAACAAGGCAGCCTTTAAGTATGTGTCGCACGAAATTGGATTTACTCTTGTACATTTGAAAATATGTACATATGTATCTGCATTTTTCAATATTTATGTACACTTAGCTACCACTGTCCACTCTATTGCATTGCGCATCGTGTTTCACATGGAGCGCTAGCAGCGACTTCTCAGGAATCGCTACGCCGCGTCCCGTCTACAGTGGCATTTCGTGGAAGCGCGTCCAAGCACAAAGCRCGCACATACATAAATATATATAATTATCAAGATTACGCAAATAACGCTTGCAACGCGTCATTAGTTACTTAAATACAAATGAAATCATACCGAATTTCTTCATTACTCATCATTGTGTGAGTAAAAACATAAAAGCAAATATAATAAAAGTTCCTCTTAGCGCTCTCTGCAGCCTGACATCCTTTTCCTGCTTCGTCTGCAGCCTAATATCATTGGAATTTTCAGTAATCATACAAATATTTACATTTCAATTAGCAGCGTTGCATTTTTAGTTTCGTTTCAGTACCTATTATCATTTCAGTGCTATCATTTCATTATGCTTATTTTCTTTTGTTTCGCCTACAAATATTTACTAATCCTCAAAAATTTTTTCAATTTTTCCAGAAATGGGTCTGCGCTACTGTGAAACACCCTCCGTCGGCACTTGTTGCACATTTAATATGGAAACGCGTCTGGCACTGCAATCGCGCATGCAACTGGAGAAGCAGTCCAAGGAGCAGATTACGAAATTGTCGAATGCTTTGGCGGCGAAAGCGCAGAAATATAATTGTAAGTAGACAAAGTGATATTTATCGAAAAYTTTGCTGAGCAAAAATGATAGAGATTCAAAAGTCGCCCTTATGCGTATGGTGAATCGAAAAAACAATTGGTATAAATTCAATAGACGTCCATAATCACTTACAAGAMAGAGTATTATATTATTGGCAACTCAAGCGTATTACCCTTATATAAGTTATTTCAGTCTCACTCGTAGACCAAGAGAGGTGAATCGAACAAGGAACTGGTATAATTACAATAGACTGGCRCAATTGCTTAAAGACAGAATATTATATTATTGGAAACTCAAGTTCATTATCTTTACACAGCCTATTTCAGTCTCACTTGATTATCAACAATGCTGTATCGAACAAGCAATTGGTATAAATGCAAAAGACTATCATATTTGCTTAACTCACAATTTATTTCACAAATTATTTCATCCTCACTCGATGACTAAGAGCTGAATCGAACAAGCAACTGGTACAAATAAAATTAACTCGCATATAATACTTAGAGATAGCGTAGCAAGAGGCTCTGAAAATTTAAAAGTCTAAAAAATTTCCTTGGAAAGCGTTAATCGAACAATTGAAAAAAACTCGCTTAAGATACCCTGAGATGGCATATCAAGCAGCTCTGACAGTTTAAAAAGCTAAAAGATTTCCTTAAAGAGTGCTGAATGAAACAAGCAACTGGTATAAATAAAATAAACTCGCTTAAATTCTCTTGAGATAGCATAGCAAGCAGCGCTGACAGTTAAAAAAGGTTAATGATTTTCTTAGTGCGTGCTGAATCGAACAAGCAACTGGTATAAATAAAATAAACTCGCTTAAATTCCCTAGAGATAGCATAGCAAGCAGCGCTGACAGTTAAAAAAGGTTAACGATTTTCTTAGAGCGTGCTGAATGGACCAAGCAACTGGTATAAATAAAATAAACTCGCATAAATTACCTAGAGATAGAATAGCAAGCGACGCTAGAAGTATAAAAAGCAATTATATTTCTTCGGAGAGGCGTAAATCGCACAAAAAACTGGTATAAATGCAATAGACTGTGTAATCGTCTAGATAAGGCAGAGCAAACGGTTGTAAAAGTTCAAAGAAATGTCATATTTCCGCACAGGGGCATACCAGAGTTTATTTTTGATTAAATGGGTGTCAGAAATTATATAATTTCTACTAATTCAGCGTCGAGTTCGCCGCTTGGTAAACCGAAACCAATTTTATGTTGCTCAAATAACGGCAGCACAACATTTTTCAAGTGCACAAAATTTAAATTTGGGRTCCACAAAGCAAAGCAAAAAGTCGAGGGCGTAAGCCGAAGACGCTACTTGAAAAATTAAAACATTACTCGGCATACGCCTGCTTAATGTGCTCTAACACGATTAACTTGACACCCACTTGAACCCAAAAACAAAAAATGATGGATGAGCGACAAAGCAAGCTAGCGAGCGTATTGCACAGGGTTACGCTTCATCTGACGGCTACACAAATCTGTAGCATGTCACATGACACGCTGTCAATATACAGTGGCTCTGTGGCTTGCTGCTTAGGAGCGACCCTCCACTGCTGCCACCACAARTGGCTACCCAATGAACCGTTCACTAGTTGCACGCGGCGTGTTGCGCATGCGGCGCACTGCAACAAATTGTGGCATGCACATACTTAACTGAATTTGTGTTGTTTATTAAATGTATATTGGTGTTGTTGCTGTCGCTGTCGTTGCTTTTCACCGTTTGTTTGTGTCAACAATCGGAGTTCTACCGGATGTGAAGTTTTCCAATTATGTTCGATTAATGCGCAGCGCACGCTGAAACAAGACAAATCTAATTTGTTCTGCCCAAATAGGTAATAAACAAATTTAAATTGCCTAATAAGCGCGCCGTAATGTTYGCGGATGTTTGGASCGCATGCGCCCACTGAAATGGTACAGGGTGCCGCGCGGCTTACTTAACGCTCGTCAGCCACCATGACGGATGCTCGTTTTTGATTTAGTTTTTGATTACTGTCAGCGTTTCTTTAATTAACACAATTTCCGTTTTACGATTTATTGAGTTTTTATAYCCTAAACAGTACAAAATATATAAGTAAATGATCAGCGTGACGAGCTGAGTCAATTTGGCCATATCTGGCCCTCAGTTATTGACGCATCGTGAAATTTTCACACTTCATTTTCTCTCCAAGAAGCTACTTATKTGTCGAAATTGTCGATGTCGAATCGCTATAGCRTATAGCTGCCATAAAAWCTGATCAAGCAAAATCMAGTCCGTGTCTGGAAAATTTTTGTAATTTACAAGATATCCTCAAAAAAAATTTGACAAAAATTACTACCCAAAGCAATAGTKTAATCTGCCAAAAAATTGTTCAGAACGAATAATTATAGGATATAGCTGTCATACAAACTGATCGATCACTCTCGAGTTCTTGTATGAAAAACTTTTTTATTTGCGAAGATATCGTCACAAAATTTGGCACGTGTTATTACTAAATGCAAAAGTTTAATCTCCCAAGAAATTGWATGGATCGGGCAACAATAGCATACACCTCCCATACAAACTGACCGATCAAAACCAAGTCCTTCTAAGGAAAACTTTTTTATTTGACAAGCTATCTTCAAGAAATTCAGCAGAGACTATTTTCTAGGGTAACGCTAACATCTACAAAAAAAATTTCGGATTGGACAACTATAGCATATAGTTGGTATACAAACTAACCCATCACAATCAAGTTTTTGAAGAAAAACTTCAACCCGTAAATCCTATTCTAGCTTCTGTATAGCCAAAGTTGATTTTTTTTTTTTTTTTTGGCTTTTGTAAATAATTTTAAATTAATCTCATTAACTTACCTTGTATTTTTTCAGCTATATTCCGCAAGCTATTGGGCGAATCGAAAGAGGAGTT